TATTATATAAACATTACAATAAAGATTGGAAACTATACTTACTATTTTTAAAAAGAATATTTCATTTTTATAATTAAAAATTTAAATTAAATGTGATAATTATTGTATAGTTAAAAAAAACCATTATAATAAATTTTTGTTTCTTTCTCCTAAATGTAAAATAGAAACCTATTCGTCAACAGACATGTTGACAACACAACTAAAAATAAGAAAATAAAAATTAGTGACGTTGTGTTGGACAAATAGATGATGTGGCACTAAACTAAAAAAACCATTGCTTTTACAGATAATTCATCTAACTTGGCACATCAAATGTTCAAAATTCACCGACATAAGCAATTCAGCGATAATTGACATCTACTCCTTATGTTGAGGTCGGAAGTTCAAACTCTTTTATCATCCAATCGGATTGGAATATCATAATAATGGTAGAAATTTTCTAACTTTTATTTTGATATAGATATTCTATACAAAACTCCATAAGTCTAAATAGAATTTACCAATTGCTTTGTATTTCATTTGTAGTTGTTGCAAATTCCAATTTGAGTATCAAAGTCTCTTTATTCGATTTATTGTACTAACAAAAGGGGTTCAGAACACATTTTCATAATTAAAAAAAAAAGATGATTATAACTAAAGAAAAATAAGATACTAGTGTAATTGATTTCACTTTTTCTCTCATTTTATTTATATAGACGGCTATAAATTATAAATATTTCATTTTAATCTTTTTATCTCCCACCTATCAAACTTCCGAAATCAATACGAAGTCTTATATTAGCTTTTTAAAGTAACATGAAAAAAAAAAAAGATAATTAGTGAAATATAGGAATCACCATGTTATAATAAAGATGGAAGAAGGGTTGAAATACTTTTTTGTACCTATATTTTTTCTTTTCCTTGATTTTTGAAACATTAGTATTAGTTTTGGTCCTTTAAAAAGTAACAATTTTTGTCCCTTCATACTTATTTTTATCTCATTTTAACTGATTGAATTTCTTGAAATATATATAGAAATTTTGTATTAAAAAGATTTTCACTAAAACTTTATAGAAAAAAGATGAAAATAGTGAGTTTTTTTAGTAGTATATATGAAATATATATTTTGGTATGAAACATAAGTGATGATCGGTGCCTGAACCTCAAGGTGAGCGCACTTGAACCACCTTGCCCAACAGTAAAGAAATAGTAATAAGCCATTATCCAAAATCCTAACCCAACCACATAACCATAACCATATCCATCTTAACTGGCTACAGAAACGTTTTTTATTTTTTTATTTTTTTAAGAAATGCATGAATGCAAAAGAAGACAAAGCATAATGGCGTTAGTTTTATATTTATATGCATGCGTGGGAGAAGAGAAAGAAATTAGGATGGATTTGGAAATTGGAATGGACCCATTGCCAAATCAGAACAGTCTGTAACTGTAAGGCAAAGAAAACAGCAACAAATGGGGTGTGATTAATGCTCCCATAAGGCCTGTCCCAACCTCCCATCTCTCTCTCTCTCTCTCTCTCTCTCTCTCTCTCTCTCTCTCTCTCTCTCTCTCTCTCTCTCTCTCTCTCTCTCTCTCTCTCTCTCTTCATCCACAATCTTCAAACTTCAACCTCGATCATATAATATAATATATTCATATTCATCTCTTCTTTTTACAACTCTACACCCATTTCCCGCCAGTGCTCAAATTTTTAACTGTATGTTATTAAACTATATATATATATTGGGGGGTGAATCAAACTATACGGAAAAATGTACTTATAATTTTTAATTTTAAAATACGGCATTGGGTATTGAATTAGTAAAATGGCTGTGGTTGTGGGAATAATTTTTAAATGTATAATTAAAGTCCCCTGTTTGGTGGGGGGAGGTTTTAAAAATTTAAATAGCTGGCGCCTGGCTTTGTCGGATTGGAAATGGACACCGTGGCCTATTTTATTTGTTTGTCTTACTCGCCCTTCGTCACGGCCCGGGTACAGTAGTATACCTCACAGACAAACACGCCCTTTCCGTTGACAAGGTCACCGCCTTTTTTTTCGGCAAAACGCAACCATTATTTTATTTCATTTGATTTTTTTTTTAATTTGTGTATTCAATTTTTATTAATATTTTTATATATTTATAAATTCAATGTCGATATAAGGAGTGAATAGACAATTTTATAGTATCACAAAAGATTGACATAATATTAATATAGATAAACTTTAATTTATTTATGAAAGTGAAATATTTATTTATTATGATTTTATTTTTTGATAAATTTTCAAAGAAATTTTCATCATTTTCAACCAAATTTGGAAGTTTGATGAAAGTCAAAATTTGGATTCCTTTTGTTTTTGTGATATTCTTCTTATCAATTGAAGAAAATTTTGAAGTACTAAACGGTGCGAAAACGTTCAATGAGTCAAATTCAATCGCATTTATTAGTTTATTTAGTAAATTCCATATCACTTTGAAGGGCGGTGGGCTAATATTTCTTCTTCTTTTTGGATAAAAATTTTTTTAGTTGAACATGGTAGGTAAGAATTTGGACTTAGTCGGAGATATATTAACTAGTTAAACTATATTCAAGTTGAAAAATATTTATAGTTTATATAATTAATTTTATGTTATATTTAAGAATCTTTTTACCATTGACCAAAATTATTTTTCATTCAAAATTGTCGTATTTGATACTTGAATATTTTTAGAAAAGTCAATTAACACTTAAATACCTTATAAGAAAATATTTGTTATAGAGCACATAGGAATCAAACATTAAAGTGATTATCCTAAAAAAGACATTAAAGTGATTTATCATTTAAGAAATATTATAATTACAATACTTTTGTTTGAAACAACTTTATCTTAAAAGCTCCTCTAGGCACATCTTTAGATCTATAAAACTCTTTTTTTTAGTACAACATGTGGAGGTGGGAATCAAACTCACAATCTTTTGATTGGAGATATATGACAATTACTGCTGAGCTATGCTCGTTTTGATAGAGTCTGAGGAGTATGAAATAGAGATGTGAAAATATTTTATTTTTTGCTAAATTATAAAAAATATCTCTAAATTACTTTACCATTTGTTTAAAAAAAATACTCGTATCATTCAAAAAGTTTCAAAACTATTTTTGACATTTCATAAACATTTCAAGAGTACTCGTTAAGCACACATTTGTTAATATTTTTTAAACAGTAAGTTAACGTGGCAGAATCTAGAATGATATGACAATTAAAGTGGAAGCTTGTCTGRGTTAAATTTGAAAACAAAGGAAATGTAGGAGAAGCTATTGTTTTTAGCAGGGGATCAGTCTATAAACAATGGATGAAGAAGACTTTTAGGGCAAAAATGAGACCTTAATTGTCATATTGTTCTAGTTTCTGTCATGTCAACTTTTCATCTAAAATATGGTTGCATATTTATTTAAAGAGTATTTTTGCAACATCTATAAAAAGAGTTACCTTAAAATAATAGAGATATTTTTGAAACAAAAGAGTCAAATTAATGATATTTTTTTTTTAATTTAGCCTTTTATTTTCCTTACATATTTGATTAGAAAAAGTCAATTGGTCAAGAGGTTTGAAATTTGAGAGTGGGATGGGTTGGGACTCTGATGTGATATATTAATGTTCCCTGTTGGGTTTATTAAGAAAAACTGAAAACGAGAGAAGCAGCAGCAGCAGCGGGAAAAAAAAAAAAATAGTCAATAGCGTTACGTGAGTGGCGGGTAGCAAAGAAAACCAAATATATTTTAAATTAAAATATTACTAATCCCACTATTTTTACTTCAATTTCATCTTTCTAAATTATTTCTGAGTCTTTATACTTTTCTTTGGATATACATTCTAACCCCTCTATTTTTAAAATATTTTAAAAGTAGTTATTTTAATCTTTATCCCATTTTTTTCGATCATACTACTATTATCAATAAAATTTTTTAATATGGTAAAATTTTTATATTAAAAAGTTCCTATTTATATATAAAATTTATGTTAGAATCTTGGAGAGTAGAATTATAAAAGTTTAAAAGTAAATAATGTAAAAAATAAGACAAAATAGTATTAAAGATATATTTGACTTTAGAGGTAAAGAATTAGGATTGATATGAAAGGGAGAATCAGTCAGTGATTGGAAGTGGAAGTGGGAGACGGACCTATGAGATTAGGTTTTTTTTTTTTTTTTTTTTGAGGAAAATTAGATATCATATTATTATTTGGACAAAAAGTACTTTTTAAATTACCAAATCCCAAACCCAAAATAATATGTCAACCTCAAACCCTCTAGCTGTCAATGCTTCCTTTTTTGTTTTTATTTTCATTTTTCCACTCTTCATCATCTTATCTATATAATTTCTAACATAAATTTGGTATGATACCAATATTATATATTGGGCGAGACAAATATTAAAAAAGTAATTTTAAAGTTTGGAGACTAAAATTGATATTTAGAGATTTGTCAATGCATGGTTTTGACCTCCTAACGGTATAAGTCGACATACAAAGAAGCTAGATATTTGAAGGAATACCTGCAAATAGAGAGTAGAAACTCTAAGCTCAGGTCCGTTATAGTTCGAGGTATTTGCTCTCACAATCAAAATTGCATACTTGCTTGTAGAGTGAGTCTTTGTATTTTATAGGAGTAAGTTTAGAAATGTAATTAGGACTTTGTTTGATAACCATTTCGCTTTTAATTTTATATTTTTAGAAATTATGTTTATTTGTGTGCAATTTCATTATTAGTAGGTTTTTCACACCTCTTGAAAATATATTTGAATTCTTAGTCAAACTATTATTTCCTTTTCTTCCCAAGATTTGACCTATATTTTATCTTTTTTTTTTAATAAAAAAACTATATAACAAAATAAAAGAACACATGGATCAAAACAATTCTATTTTTTTTAAATATAAAACCAAAAAAAAAATGGTTATCAAATGGGGCTGAGTTATTGGTACTAAAATCTACATTATACTAAAAAAAATTTATAAAGAGTAGATAATTAGAAGACATTGAAGTCAACTTGAATATAAACTGGTTAAGTTATAATCTTATGTAAAGTTATAGATTTGAATTCGCATCGTTGGATGAACTAAAAAATACGCTTGGATTGTCTTTTTTGTTAAACTATTTTTTCTTAATGACTATTTAGAAAAGACAGAGAAAAAACCATTAAAAAAAAAAACTAGGAAGACGAAACCACAAGTAGTAAAAAAAGAATATTTAACTTATTAACAAATTGCACTGAAGTTTCACAAAATCTTCCAACTCTCTCCCTCCCTATATATATATAAATCAACAAACAAGCCTTAGCACAACCATTTTCTTCACACACCAGCAGAGAAGAGAAGCCCACAAGTTTGGTTTCTTGGTGCAGCACTAATTAGTTCCCTCAATCACACTCCAATATTGCACAACACAATAAGAAGCTAAGGTATTCGTTAATCTTCATTAACATCATATAATACATTTCCTAATTTGCAATCTTGTTTTCAATACTAAAATTTTGATCTTATGTGTCTTTTAATTACCTTAATTAGAAACCTAGGGGACAAAAATTACCCTAATCTTGTTTTACATGTACATTTATTAAATCTTTAAAATTGTCAAATTAGGCTAATAGTCAAAACTATTTGGATATAGACTAAACTAGAATTAGTCAAATACTTAGTTGTCTAGCATACAAGTTGACTCCTAAAAAATTAGAAAATTAAATAATATTTTCCTATTGACTATGAGTCTCCTACTACTCACTACTAAATTTTTTAGCAATTATTTCTTTGAAAAATTTAATAAGTCTGTCTTCTTTTCCTTGACAAAGGTTTAAGAAAGGATCAGATTTTTTCTCAGCATAAAGTATTATTATAATCTTTCAAAATGGTATAATATGAAAATAAATCTGAAAGTGCGTTAATTCGGAAACAGCAATAAAGGGAAAAAAATGAAAATGAGGTATGTATGTAATATCCATCTTGAAAAGAATCAAAACCCAAATTTTGGTTTCCTCTAAGGAAGAAAAGAAAAAGTCAGTTTTGGTTTTTTCTTATTCCTTGACAGAATATAAAGAGTCAACTCCTGGGATCTATACACAAGAACAGCTACAAGGTAGGAAAAAAAAATGATTCCTTTTCTTCAAAACTTACTTTAAATATATATTTTTTTAAAATCCAAAAGAAGCATCTTCTCAGTGATCACTTTCTGAAACTTCTTTTAGGGAGCCGATTCTGTTTGGACTGTCTCTCTCTGTCTCTCTCACATACTCGCGGAAACGCCTCATTTGGGTAACCATTTCTTTATTTTATAATTTTCAGTGCCATTCTTGTTCTTCTCTTTGAATCCATTGATTAACCATTTCTTACTCTTTTTTTTTTYTTCTTTTTTCCCATGTCTATTTCATTGAATATTTCAAAGCTCATTCCCCCAATTCGTTCGAATTCTGAGTTTCAAGTCGTCTTCTGGGCGAGAAGAACAAGAAGAGCTTTCCTTCATGTTCTGAAACAGGTATTTCTACAGACCCAACTCTTACATTTCGCCTTCTTCTTGAGATTCAATCTTATTTTTCCCTCTGCCCTCTCTCTCTCTCTTGTCGGTGTGTGCGTGAATGAGAGAACAAAAAAGGTTCAGTTTAAAGAATTTGTTATGCGCGGCTGAAAGAAGCAAAATCTCCAATTTCTGTATCATTTATTCAACACTTTTTTTCTCCCCATTTCATTCTCCCTTTATTATTTGAAAAGAAAATACTGTCACATGTCTGATGTCCCAACTTGGCCATTTGAAATTGTGAAGTTTCAGAGGCTTTACAGCTTCATCCTTGATGCAATCTTTTCCTAAATTCACATGATTCATGGTGACACCAGGCAAGGCATGGAAAATTTCCCTCTATGTGGCCCTGAATTCATGCCTTATCTTTTTCAGTTTTTTTTTTTTAATGCACATAACATAATGTCATTTGCAAGCCTTCTGACCCTCTAATGTTGTTTCCTTCTGTTCTGTTTCAGTTCCACTCCATTAGAACTGCAGCCAAAGGTTTCATTTCAGAACTTCTTAATGGCTTATGGTAGTTCTAGATCTGTAAGGTCAGTTTCCTTCTCATTCTCGACCTCTGGATTCAATTTCTTTAGCAGTATTTCTTTTACTTTCTTTTGCATCATATCAGATTTCAGTTTGCATTCGGTCGACATTTAAACACCATGACATGATGTTACTATTGTATTTATGTCTTTTTTAGGTTCCAAGATGATCTTGAATCATCGACTTTGCCTACTATCAATAGTGGTGGCGTAACGAAGATCATATACAACATCGATGGCACACAAATACCAGAATCGAGCAGCAAGAGGACCAAGGTTTCTGGGAAGTCTGGAAGATCCTTGAGAGCGAAAGTTTTGTCTAGAGTTTTCTCCGAGGATTATGAGAGGGTACAGAGAAAAATATTGGATCCTCGGGGACAAGCCATACGGCGATGGAACAAGATATTCTTAGTAGCTTGTTTAGTCTCTTTGTTCGTAGACCCTCTTTTCTTTTACTTACCCGTGGTTCGAGATGTGGTGTGTATCGATATAGGAGTAGGTCTCGAAGTCATCCTCACAACTATAAGATCGATAGCTGATGTTTTCTACACAATTCAAATTTTTATTAAGTTTCGTACAGCTTTTGTCGCGCCCTCTTCTCGTGTATTTGGGAGAGGAGAGCTTGTTATAGATCCTTGTAAGATAGCAATGAGGTATCTTCGCCACGGTTTCTGGATCGATTTCATTGCAGCCCTGCCAATTCCTCAGGTATATGCAGGTCTAACAATTGTTTTTCAGTTCATATATAGTGATATGAGGTTGCCGATTCGTTGATCTAAGGATCGGGATTTTCATTTTTCCTCTTGCAGGTACTGATCTGGATTGTCATCCCCAACCTTAGTGGTTCAACAATGACAAACACCAAGAACTTCCTTAGGTTCTTTCTCATATTCCAGTACCTCCCAAGACTTTTTCTCATATTTCCACTCTCAACACAAATTGTTAAGGCCACTGGACTTGTGACACAAACAGCATGGGCTGGAGCTGCTTATAACCTGATTCTTTATATGTTGGCAAGCCATGTAAGTAGAAGAATAACCCATATTCTTATTTAACTTCGGAGCGAAGTTCGGATTTAAAACTAAAATGAAAAGGTTGCTCATCTTCTGTCGCTCCTATTGTTTGAAAGGTTTTAGGAGCCTGCTGGTACCTTCTTTCAATTGAGCGACAAGAAGCATGCTGGAGAAGAATTTGTGAGCTTGACAAATCTTGTAAAGTTGGATTCTTTGACTGTCATAAGATCGATGACCCTCTAAGGGACTCTTGGTTTAAGACGAGCAACATTACGAATTCATGCAATCCAAATGATCCCTATTATCAATATGGTATATACGGTGATGCAGTAACTTTCCACGTCACAACCTCGCCATTTTTCAACAAGTACTTCTTCTGTCTTTGGTGGGGCCTGAAAAATCTGAGGTGAGCTACCCCTGCATTTTGATTATGTTAATATAAAGTTGTCATTTCACATTCTACCCCTGCATTTTGGTTATGAAAAAATTCAACTTCCTTTCATTTATATGTGCAGTTCATTGGGACAAAACCTTGCCACAAGCACTTTTGTTGGAGAAATAATTTTTGCCATAATTGTGGCAACTCTTGGACTGGTTCTGTTTGCATTGCTCATTGGTAATATGCAGGTAATATTGGATATTGTAATCGATTATTTATGTCCAACATTAGGCTCTATATTATGCAGTTACATATGTAGCCAGTTCTTTATGGTTTCAGTAAAGTCGTTAAATCTTGAAGTTGTGCGAAATTTAAATTGAAAATGCTTATTTTGTTGGCAGAAATATCTCCAATCGACGACAGTTCGATTAGAAGAATGGAGAATAAGGAGAACTGATACAGAGCAATGGATGCATCACAGGCAACTACCTCCAGAACTCAGACAATCTGTCCGCAGATATGATCAGTATAAGTGGGTAGCAACTCGCGGAGTYGATGAAGAAGCTCTGCTCAGAAGCCTCCCATTGGATCTCCGAAGAGACATAAAACGTCACCTTTGCATCGACCTCGTTCGAAGGGTAAGTTACTTATAAATTTGCATGACGTATGGAGGGGAGGAATATGAGGCTAATTAAACTGATTCTTATGTGTGCACTCTCTTCTTGATTTGGGCAGGTTCCACTGTTTGATCAAATGGATGAAAGAATGTTAGATGCAATTTGCGAGAGGCTTAAACCTGCCTTGAGCACAGAAGGCACATTTCTAGTGCGAGAAGGCGACCCAGTGAACGAAATGCTATTCATAATCCGAGGTCATCTCGATTCATACACCACTAATGGCGGCAGAACTGGGTTCTTCAACTCCTGTCGTATTGGCCCAGGTGATTTCTGTGGTGAGGAGCTCCTGACTTGGGCTCTCGACCCTCGTCCAAGCGTCGTACTTCCTTCTTCCACTCGCACAGTCAAAGCCATCTCCGAAGTCGAAGCATTTGCTCTCATAGCAGAGGACTTGAAATTTGTATCCTCCCAGTTCAGAAGACTCCACAGCAAACAACTCAGACACAAGTTTCGGTTTTACTCGCATCAATGGCGAACGTGGGCTGCGTGCTTTGTTCAAGCAGCATGGCGGCGATATAAGAGACGCAAAGAAAGAGCTGAGCTTATGGCTAGAGAGAGCAGTACAGCTACCAAGCTCGAGTCCTCGCTTCCACCACCAACTGCGTCAAGCTTGAATGCACGATTAGGAAACACTAGAAGAGGGATGGATAAGCGTTGTGTATCGAATGCTGGGGTCGTAAGCTCGTTGCAGAAACCTGAAGAGCCTGACTTTTCAATTGTTGAGGAATGAAGTAGCCAACCGAGAGCAACTGGATTTGTACAGGTGGGGGGTGAATGATGAACTTATACTACTATTAATTGTTCTGTGTAAAATGAAAGTTCGGTAATGCATTTGATAAAATTTAATGTGGGGATTTTTTAGTGACTTTTTTCTTTAGGTAGACTTGAAGGATTTGTAAGTGTAACACCATGCAGAAACAAGAGAGAGAGCTCTGAGAGATGTATGAATGACTGATGTAAAGCATCACAATAAGTTTCTATAATTTGTTTGTTAAATATAGTAATTTGGGCTTGATTTATAATATAATTCTTAAACTCTAACTTTGTGATCTCTTACATTTTCCTAGCATTGGCCTAAGTGCCAAAATAAAGTATTTAGTAGATATAATGGTCCAAAAAAGAAATAATAATAACAAAGTATTTAGTCACGTGATCTCAGAGTCCCCTCGTATGGAAAAATGGTTTCGGCTTTTGACTTTATTCAAAGAACACAATATGGACTGTAATTGCATATCCAAAGGCCCAACGCCCCAAAATGGGCTTAAGTTCATAATCAAAGGCCCAATCACTTTCACGTTTAGAACTCGTATCATACGGGCCTGGGTTCCTTCAAAGGGTCCGGCCCAACCCCACCGTCGCTTTAGTTTTTGCAAGTGGTATGAGAAACAAAGAATTTAAATTAATTCTGCCCAAACTCAGTTGATTTCAAATTCTCTTTAAAGTTCACCATTGAAATTTGTCAGCAATAATTAAAAAAAGTCATTGAAGTGCTTGATTTTTACTTTATAACCTCATTTTCGACGACCCCGTGCCGTCTACTAAACCAAAATTCAGCTCAAATAAAGCTGAGCATTCATATTTTTCAACCATATCATAATCTTATACAATAACATTAAAAAAAAGATTCAATGATTTATTCAACTACATGGTTTTAAAGCAGTAGTTTAACAAATTCAATGAAAAGGTTCTCCCTTTTAACCATAGTCAGAGATTAATTTGAATTTCAATTGCATCTCAGTTCAATTTCAGACTACCCCAACAAGCCTTAAACGGTACATTTAGGCAAAAA